CCGAGTGGTGGGGGCAGAGCACGTTTAGACAAGTTTAGACAAGTTTGTGCGTGTTCGGAAATTTAATGCGAATAACAGTTCTGAGAATTTAACGTAGAAAAACAATGCCTCGAAGCAGCCGTGCTCGGCCGACGACCTATACGGTTGGCTGTGTTTACGAGTTTTTGTAAACACCAGTTTCGCGGTGGTATATATTCTCCGCGATCAAGTTACACACGATAAAGCCAATTAAATATTCTGAGAATTTAACATTGAAAAACTATGCCCCGTGCTCGACCACTAATTAGGCATCGACCAATAATACGGCCGTCGTGTTTACAGTTTTTCTAAACACAAGTTTCGCGGTGATATCTATTCTCCACGTCGAAGCTACGCACGATAAAGCAATTAAAATATTCTTCGATTTTATATAACAATCCAGGTCCCATCCGTTCAGCAGCAATTCGATAGAAATAAATTAATAGATTAGGTGTCCACTTACATAATTGCTGGACAAATTGTTTCTATCAATTTTCCGCTGTTTCAGTCGATTTCGAATACGAAACGTTGTGGCGTCGTTTCAATGTTCTTTCTTTTCGAACCCTCAGCACAGCCAAAACCCTGTAAGAGAGTAAACAAACGTTTAATTTAAAGAAAATTAAACAAATATAAGCTAAAGGAAATGATTAGAAACACTTAGGGATTGATAAACTAAATTTATAATCATACCTTCTTATCAGACACATGTGTAAGTACATCCTCTCCGTACAACGACCACGAAGCAACTGACGAAACCTGTAGGTGTCGTTGCTAGGAAACTGGATATAAGAGTGGGGGTAACCCCACTACCAGCCCACCTATTCGAAAATTTATAAATATAATATACTATTCTGGTGTTAATTATGCTTTAATCCCATTTGATATTTCTTGATAAAAAACGGATACGTCATAATTTCTATGTCACATACACCAGTATGATGCTTCTCTCTTTTTCGGCGGTAAAACTTCAAAATCCAGAGGATTTCGGAATAAATTTATCATCCAGATACACCAAAGCTCCTTCAACTCAGAAACCTAATAATTTCCAACACAATTAATGTTCACTTTTTAAAATAAAACTATCGCGAGTCAAATTTATTAGTGTCTATGCTATTGCGAGTGCTGGCAGAGAGCTGGACGTGCAACTTGAGAGTACTCTCGAGAGCAAGTATTTCAATTGCGCAGTAGTCACTTTTATCCTTTAAAAGGTTTCTATTCTCAAACGAAACATTTTGTTCACAGTATATGGCAGCGGAAATTTCAAAGAAGCGTTCAGTATTTCAGATGTTCAGCACTTCAGACGGTCAGACGTTTTATAATACGTAAATTTTTGCTGTTTGCGAGTGCTTGCGGAGAGCTGGACACACAGTGTGAGAGTACTCTCGAGAGTAACTATTTAAATTGCGTAGTAGTCACTTTTAGCCTTTAAAAGGTCTTACATGAAATTGTTACACGAAACATCTTATTTAAAGTGTATGGAAGTGGAAATTTCGAAAAAACGTCCAGTATTTCAGACATTCCGTATTTCAGACGTTCAGATGTTTTGTAATACGTCGATCTTTGCTATTAAGAACTCGACAATTCGATCGACATAAAACACCAAATTGCGGAATAAATCAACGACTTACACTTCTCGATATCACTTGTATTCACTTTCAACTTACAGAAGCACAATTGTTTTCAATATAAACGTTTGTTTTGCACATGATTTTCGCTGCGTTTAAAAACGGTGGTCGGGAGTGCTCGGCAACGTTCGGAATTATTCGGTTGACAGTTCTCTTTTCGGATATCCTGTTTACGAAATATTCCATATCAAATTGGATATTTTCTACCACTATATCATAGATTTTTTTCAAACTCTACACAATTATTGGCATATTAAACGTTAAACCGTTAAAAAATCGAGTCAAACTTTTGGTTATTTAACAAGGGAACATCTCAAAGTGATAATTGACATCGTGCATTATTTCACATAAAACCATGGGCATTTTAAATTTGACATAGATGGGGAAGAAAATGATAATTCTTTGTATCAGCGGTACTGCTACCGGGAAAACCTTTATCATTTTCGCGATTAGCAAGTAGCGATTCTGGTGATAAAAGAACAAGAAACTGAAGATTAATTTAGTCGCCTTGTCCTTCTACCTGCGTTGGCGCGTAAAACAAACATTTAATAGCACAGACGTTAATTTCTAAATGATTCATTCACAATAAATGGTTACTGTAAAAGAAACCTAGAGAAATGTATTAATATTTTTTAAGATTTAAAAAAGGAAAAGTAAACATTTTTTTGTGGGTCCTGAATAATTAAAAATAGTTTCTTATATTTTTAAAAATAATATTTTGAAAGTCGACACGTGGTTCATTTGTTACCGACTGCTGACGTAAGGCTCTATCGTCGCCTATTTTTCATAAAAGAGTAAGTGCGATAGCCTTATTCTATCACTATTGGCTGATTAACAGCGAGACGGCATAACTCCTGCATCTGTTACTTTTAAACACTAAAGTAACGCCTGAACTTTAAAGTTTTTTTGCCGGACAATATATTTTAATAACAAGGGTTAATACGAAGGAAATAACGACAGTACAACTGCAATATAATTTTGACAATGTAATAATATGATTATCTGCGAGATTAAATTCGACTTTTTCTCCATGATATGACTCGTGTGCGACTGACTTTTCCGGTCTTCTTCGGCATGCACCCACGTTTCACGTACCTGATTGGCTATTTTGATTTGTCCGGTTTTAGTGCTACCATCTAACAACACCTGAGTGAAATTACAATTAATATGCCGGTAAAGCTAAACATGATGAAAAGAACATGTGTTTGCACCGAACAATTTTACAAGCTGAGTGGCAACGTTTCATTCCTAAAAGTTCATTTATATTATTTTGTCAGTGGAATCTGTAGTTTAAACTTATAATTTCAAATTCGTTAAAATGTAATTTGTAAAATTATTTATACATTCTTATCGTCTTCTGACTATTGTTTAGTACATATTTGGCTGTAACGTGTAGAAATATTTATCATTTCATTATCGTAATTATGGAAACTGATGGTCAAGGTCAAAACCTTGATATTGAAAAATTAAATGATACGCACGTGAACAAGATTATTGATGAAAATTTAACGACAAAGGTTAGAGCATAAAGTTTGCATTATATTTTATTTAAAATATAGCTATAAAATGCAAGATACTATTTTTAATTGGCAATGGTAAATTTTAGAAAAATTAATTTTTAATATTGAATATTTAAAAAAA